CGCTTTTTTAAATACAAAAGGTGGCAACCCTGGACGTAACTTGTGTTTAAAAGTAAAGTGTTTTGGTGTATTGTGAAGAATTAGTGTTTTATTTTGCTCTAATATCAAATGATCCAGATTAATTTTTAGTTCTCGTGAGATTATAAAAATAAAATCACACGGGGTAAATGTTTCTCACTGTCTGAAACAAAACAAAATCCAGTATGGTAATGAAATTAAATAAAAGAATATTACAAATACCAATAAAACGTTCAAGACTTCAATACTCGTAAATATCACGTAAGATGATAAAAAATGTAGAAGTCTGCGTAAAGGCAGAATAAAGTATTAACCGCCCCAGGTTCATAAATTGTACAATATATGCCTTGTAAATTAACCGACAGACATATTTATGTATTTTAATAGCTGCCTTACAACCATTATGTTTTTATTATATTATTGATAATATCAGGTCTTACCAATTTATAATTTCAGAGTAGACCTATTAGAAGTGCAATGGGGGTAACAATGAAAATGAAATAATATTAAGAAAAAATACTGCTGTATACCGGGTGCGTCTCAAAAATGCTTCTCCCCTATAACTTTTTTATTTTTTCAGGTAAAAAAAACGAGATTTGGTATGTTAGTATATGACATAAATTAGGATTGATTGACGTATTCAATTGTTTTCGGTCACTTCCTGTTTCACCGGAAATGACTACAACTTTTGATTTTTAAAAGACACCCTCTGCATTTTTTTTACTTTATTCGATAGAAAATGACATACTGAATAGAATGACATATCATATGTCAACTTTTGACATTCTCGCTTAAAACAAAATTGAATTTTAAAATTCAATCTAGAGTGCCATAGCCATGTTAAAAACACTACCTCTTGATCAAGGAGCCTTGGAAAAATAGATTTGATGGTCTAATGTTTTTATTGTCTTGTCCTGACCAGTTAGAAAATGCTCAAATCGTATTTTTAATCATATCTCAATTTTTTCAAATGGAATCAGGGTGGCTCATTAGCATATTTGGAAAAAGCATTTTTTACGAATAATTAGGTACCACACACTTGGTATTTCGAGTCAAATTTTGTTACGAACCGCAAGTTATACTTTCAAATAAACCATATGCGAAAATGTCAAAAGTTGACATATGATATGTCATTCTATTTAGAGTGTTATTTTTTATCGATAAAGTAAAAAAATATCGAGGGTGCCTTTAAAAATCAAAAGTTGTACTCATTTCCGGTAAAACAGGAAGTGACCGAAAACAATTGAATACGTCAATCAATCTAAATTTATGTCATATATTAACATACCAAATCTCGTTTTTTTAACTGTAAAAATAAAGAAGTTATAGGGGTGAGCCACTTTTGAGACGCACCCGGTAGAGAAACAATTATTTTTTGTAGACGTACTAACTGGGTTTACGACAGACACAATCATACTATCTTTCTTTAACATAACTTACGTACGTAATTAAAAATCATTCTTTTGTATTATGGAAAAAGTGTAAGTACCAGCAATGTGAATGTTTATAAGGGTATTATGATTAAGGTCATTTGCAAAATTGAAAGCAATATGTGTTATGTTTATTAGTCATGAATTTAAAAATTCAATAAACTATAACAATCAGTGCAAAAAAGCAAAATTTAACCGTAAAATTTGTACTGAAATGACTAAATAATGTCACTAAAATGATACATTGACAGTGATTCTTTAGCCTTATACATATATTTTTTTTTAGTTGTTTCTTGGGTCTGGTGGCTATGGTTAGATTAAAAACAATAGTTTTTCGACGTTTCGCATTTATTGTGTCATGCTTCTTCAGGATTTTTTTTGTCTTTCCTATGTCTTGGAGTGTTTAATACCGTTTCTTTACTGAAAAACTATTGTTTTAATATAACCATAGCCACCAGACCCAAGAAACAACTAAAAAAAATAATAAAATGATACATACATATCTGTTCATATCAAATAAACTTTTAGTCACGTGATTAAGCTTGACCGGCAGAGCGTTGCCCACTTTTACATATTTTTTTTTAAACAAAATGTTTTAGGAAACAAAAATGAATTAATTATAAATATACAGCTTTGTTCACCACATACGACGCGGAGTATTGTAGCTAAACTATTTAATTTTTGCAAATTGTAAGTTTTGCGTTCGTTGAAGAACTATTAGAGCTACAATTTAAAAATATTTTTACAAGATACAGAGTGTACCAAATAAATAAAAAATATCAAAGTTGTATTTTTTTAAATGGAACACCCTATATATTATTGCATTTTTAGTTTCTACGATTAAAATAAAGGTAAGTTTGATTAAGGTTTACCGCATTTTAATCTTACCGTTTTTGAAATATTTAGGTTTTTGTCAAAATACAGTAATAATTATAAGCTTTATTTCTCTAGGCGTATTTAAGTTTTTAAAAACAAATATTGTATTGAAGTATTTCTATTCACTAAATTTTGTGTTGCAATAATAAAAATTATACTATCTTATACAGAGTGTCTAAAAATTTATTTTAAATAATAACTAGTTTTAAACGGCAATAACTTCTTTAATTTAAATGGAACACCCTGTATATTTTATGAGAATCAGATGCACAATTTAATTGTCTATCAAATTATACTATATCATTTTTCACCTATGTCTTCAGGTTTTCGTAGAAAATGCATTTTCTTATAATTTAGACTTCAATTATCAATATACCCATGGAATATTGACATTTTAGATTATTTTTAAAGATGTAAGAAATTTTTAAAGGGTACAGATACCAATATTGTCGATATAGTTCGTTTATGTCATTAAAAAATAAAAAAAATGTTTAAATATTTGTAGAAAGGAGCAATTAATGTGATTCGAGTATTCAAACTACATTAATGGACTGCTTGCATTGATTAATAATAATTGCTCCAAATACTAAAAACTGAATTTTGTATGTATATTAGACAGTGTGGTAAAAAGTAACACATTAAAAATTTTATTTCATTTTTTGACAAATGCTTATTTATAACAACAGAGATGTTTCATTTTCATAACTTATTATTATATTGATTTCTGATTCCAAATCCCCATTTATTTAGAATAATTTTTTAACTAACACAATTAAATATGTAATTAATTAATATTTGGGGGAAATACTGGTGGTATATTTAATTAATGGTATAGTCTTTTATAAAGATTTAAATAGTTTTATTTTTGTATACAAATAGGCTGGTAATATTATCATTTCATCTGTTGTTTTAAAAACAATCTAAAATGTCAATATTCCATGGGTGTATTGATAAATGAGGTCTAAATTATTAGAAAACGCATTTTCTACGAAAACTTGAAGAGATAAGGAAAAAATGGTATAATACAATTTGATGGACAATTAAATTGTGCATCTGATTCTCCTAAAATATACAGGGTATTATATTTAAATTAAACAAGTTATTGCCGTTTAAAGCTAGAAATTATTTAAAATAAATTTTTAGACACTCTGTATGAAGTAGTATTACTTTTATTATTGCAACACAATAACTAATCAATACTTAAACTTCAGTCAATATTTAGTATTAAAAACTTTGATACCCTTGGAGAAATGAAGCCTTGAAATTTTTACTACAATTTAACAAAATTGAAAATATTTCAAAAACGGTAAGGTTTAAAGGTGATAAACCTATAGCTACAATACTCCGTGTCGTATGTGGTGAACAACCCTGTATACACAAAAAATAAATTGTTAAAACACTCACACATTGTCAATTATGACTTCTATTTGTAGGGGGCGCCACCTACATGTGTTTTAACTGTTTTGAAGAGTTTCGTCCGTACCTGTATAAAACTACTGAGTAAAAAACATACATTTCCGAGACTTTTAAGTAAAAAATGTCTCTTGGTAAAAATCGCTACGAGCAACCGTTCTCAAGATACTTAGAATGGAAATAGTCAATACATGTCATTATTGACAAAAAATAAACACGTTGAGTAGGGATAGTTATTTAACTGAAGTAATAAATTTGGAAAATTTTTATTTTTTTAAATTAATCATAAATTTTTCTGCGAAAAAATGGTAATAAAACAGTTTCTGTTGAAATTTTGGTACAAAACCCCATTTCAAATTTATTATTTCAGTCTAATAACTATTTAGTCAACACGTTTAATTTATGTCATGATGACACTTATTGATAATTTCGATTCCAAATATCTCGAGAACCATTACTCGTAGCGATTTTTACCAAGAAGCCTTTTTTACGTAGAAAACGTCGTAAATGTATATTTATTTACTCAGTAGTTTTATACAGGTACGGACGAAAAGTTATTACTCTTCAAACCAGTTAAAAAATATGTAAGTGGCGCCCACTACAAGTAGGAGTCATATTGACATCAAAATCAATTTTTTCATGTCAAAAAACTCCCAGACACCAATTTTCCTCCATATATTGACGTTACTTCAGAAATTATTTGGAAAAAATCGAAAAAAAAGGTTTACACCCTGTATCACCGAAACTATGCATTTTAGGACATATATTTATAGGAACTTTTTTTATTTATTTTTATCTGCAGAATATGTTGCCGAAGTTTCCGGAGTACAGTTCGGACCGCCCTGTATATCTATTAGTCATCTACTTGCATTATTAAAAATTATTCACAAGGAAATTGTATTGATTAACAATGAATTCTACACATCTTTGCGTAACCATTATTTAATATTAACTGCGAAAGAAATTGATGATTATCTATCTTATGAAAGAATGATTATTTAACTCACATTGATTGAAAGAATTTGTCTACACTTTGTATATGATTGATACATAAATGAAATACGTCATTATCGGTCAAATATCCAAAAAAAATAAACTTCATTATATAAAAAAATTCAAAAGTTTTAATAAAATTATTTTAGTAATGTAATTTATTTTATTGCTTTTAGAGCGTTTTGAATGCGTTTGTATGTTATTCTTGCTCTTCACAAAGTACACAGTTCGGATTAAATGCAAAAAACTATATTATACAAATTTTTACAGAACATTACCGACAAGAAAAATTCCACTTCAGTATATTTTTTAAAATTTTAATCTCCATTTTTTAAACAAAATGAAAGATTTTAATTCGATTTGGAGAGGCATTGTTGGACGGACGTACGATGCAGTTAATACTGGAGAACAGAAAAATTTCAAAAATAGACAAGAAATTAGTAGAAAAACACGAAGAATCAATAATAGAAGACGTAAGTATTTTCAACAGATTTATTTAAAAAGGTGTTAGGTTTATATAATATAATAATACAGGGTGCTACAAATTCGAGGTTCGAGCATTGGTATCTCGGTAACCGTAATAGATACAAACATGGTTAAATTGGGGCAAAGTTGCGCTTTGTGATGTTCACCAAGATGCCATCGAAAAAGTTTTAAAAATTTCAAGGATTGCTGAGTTTTTTGGAAAAACGGATTTTTTTGAAAATCAATTTTATTTTTTCCTGTCGTTACTTTAAAGAAAGTCAAAAAACTAATTGCACATTCTCATAGCCACTTTATTAGGGCTATCTGATAGTATTTTTTTTCAAATTAGCTGATAATTTGTGAGATACAGAGGCCAACTTAATTTTTTTAAATACGGACCTGCATTTTTTATTTTCGGTTTTGAAGGAACTCGGTCTCCTGAGTACAATGATATGCCACACTTTATACTTTTTTTGTTTTTGGTACCTTAACAACAAAAAACTATATAATTATTATTTAAAATAATTTCAAGTCTGACTTTTTTTTTAATTATTTAATCTGATTATATTCATCGTAATAGCATATTGATCAGCGCATCGCAACACTGAATAAGGAAAATCGAGCAAAATTTACAGATTTTCTGTAAATTATACAGATTTTCTGTAAATTTACACTTTTTCTGTAAAATTAAAATTTTACACTTTTTCTGTAAATTTACACATTTTCTGTACATTTACAGATTTTCTGTAAATTTACAGAAAAAGTGTAAATTTTGCTACAAATATTTTTCAATGTTGCGATGGCAGCTCTACGCTTTCGTAGATTATATTCATCGTAATATACATATTGATCAGCGCTAATTAACATTGAATAAGGAAAATCGAGCAAATTGGGAGATTCAAATAAATTATATCCAGGTCAGCAATTTAAAGATATTATTTTTATTTGTTTTATTGTGAATTTGAAATCTCAGTGTGTGATCTAATAATACGCGTAATATTCATCGTAGTTATTATAAATAAATAAACTTCTACAAACTAGTTTCTAATGTTCTACGAAAGGGTTACAACCTTCCCTATTGCACAAATTTATTTTTCGTTCAATTTTATTTATAGCTCTTTGAACTTTCTTCTTATACTTCCGAAAGCATTTTGTACTCTTTATTCTAAATGTTGAGATGTATTGATTTCACTTTTACAAATGACGTGAAGTAATGTATTCATTTGTATATTATTTTTTATTATTTTATTGCATTTGATTTTCAATATTCAATGTTTTACCCCACGTCATTTTTAAGTTTGAAAGCTTATCGATATTGTAACGACGAATAGATTAAATATTTAAAAAAAACAGAGCCGGACTTAAAATTAGTTTAAATAAATTGTGTTCAAATTTCTGAAACCAAAAAAAATATTAAGTGTGGCATATCATTGTACTCAGGAGACCGAGTTCTTTCAAAATATCAAATAAAAAATGCAGGTTCGTATTTAAAAAAATTAAGTTGGCCTCTGTATCTCACAAACTATCAGCTAATTTGAAAATCTAAAAATACTATCAGATAGCCCTCATAAAGTGACTATGAGAATGTGCAATTAGTTTTTTGACTTTCGAAAAAGTAACGACAGAAAAAAATAAAATTGATTTTCAAAAAAAACAGTTTTTTCCAAAAAACTCAGCAATCCTTAAAATTTTTAAACCTTTTTTGATGGCATCTTGATGGACATCACAAAGCGCAACTGTGCCCCAAATTAACCATGTTCGTATCTATTACGGTTACCGAGATACCAATGCTCGTACCTCGAATTTATAGCACCCTGTATATAAAAATACATGCTCTAGTAATACCTACAGCAATATAAAATAAAACAATAGAAAAGCTTGAATGAGGGAGAGTACAACACGATGATTAAATTTAAACAGTTTAAAGGATAAAATTCTACAATGATAATTGCAACTGATGTAGGTATATACATATAATATTTTTATTAAATAGACTTTGAAACTTTTTATATGTCGCACATTAATAAAATTGGTAATTAATATATGTAATTAATTGTTGCTGAAATATTTTCTGCTATTTTAATAGATATATTAAAAAAATGTTGCACAGTAGCTTTTTGAGTCCGATGTATATGATATAAATAATTATTTAATTAATTAACTATGGACATATATGCACACACATATATTACATTGCAAAAAAATAACAAAACATTAATTATGATCAAGTATATTTAATATGCGGTTCCACGTTTTTGAGATAACATTCGTGGGTCAAAAATCATGTCAATTATAAAACAATTCCGTTTAATTATAATTACTAAAAATATTTTAATGATATACCGGGTACGTCCCAAAAGTGGCTCACTATTATAACTTTTTTAATTTTTTCAGATAGAAAAACGAGATTTTGTACGTTATTATATGACATAAATTGGGATTGATTGACGTATTCAATTGTTTTTGGTCACTTCCTGTTTCACCGGAAATGACTACAACTTTTGATTTTTAAATGGCACCCTCGGTATTTTTTTACTTACTTCGATAGAAAATGATACTCTGAATAAAATGACATATGATATGATAACTTTTTGATATTTTCTCGTTTCACAATATTTTGAAGTAATCACTTGTCATCTTGTCAATCAAATTTTAAATATATCCTGCTATGCGTTCCAGTTGTACCAACTTATTTCTTTGTAAAATAAAATAAACTACTTTGAAATTAAAATGACAGACACATCTATCACTGTCAAGGATCTTCTCGTTGGACAGACTATAGAAATGCCATTTGGGCATCTTTTAACTGATCAGGACAAGACACTGAACACATTAGACGATCAAATCTATTTTTCCAAGACTCCTTGATTAAAAATTAGCGTTTTCAACACAGCCATGGCACTCTAGATTAAAATTTAAAATACAATCCTTGTAAAGCGAAAATGTCAAAAGTTGACAAATTAATGATATGTCATTTTATTCAGAGTGACATTTTCTATCAAATAAGGTAAAATACCGACGGTGCCAAAAATCACAAGTAGTAGTCATTTCAGGTTCAGGTGAAACTGAAAATGGTCAAAAACAATTATTGAATGCGTCAATCAATCCTAATTTATGTCATATACTAACATACCAAATCTCGTTTTTTTTATCTGAAAAAATAAAAAAGTTATAAGGGTGAGCCACACTTTTGAGACGCACCCAGTATATATATTTTTTTAGATTTGTTTCATTCCCAAAATATACCTAATATCAGTTAATATAAATGGTATGTCAAGTTGAAATATAATTTCAACTTGACATACCATTAATATCAGACAATAAAATTTTGTTTATTATAATAATAATTAATAATTATTTTATATCAATGATATGATACATTTTAAAAAAATGTTAATTGGTACCGTAAATCTAAATAATTTTTTAGTTTTTTCGTTTTTTTTTTATTATGTATGATGAAGTAGATTGAATTAGGTCGAATAATAAGTTCCAATGGATTTAAACAGGTATTTAAATTATTTAATTTATACAATTTATTTGTTGTATATATTTAAAAACCTTTATTTTTCAAAAAAATTAATTACAGCATCTCATAATAAAAAACAGAAATACATAAATAATATAGAAGAACGAATTAACATAAATAATTAAAATAAAATCAACATTTATTTGATTATATATTAAGTTTAAGAACTAATGTTTAAATAAACTTGTAAGGTATTTATTAAAATTATTAATCTGCGAAGTAAGATTTTTAATAACCTAAATTTGGTCACCTACTATCGACAAATTCAATAATTTACATCATGTATGGGCCAATAGTAAAACTGGCGAAAGTAAACAAATGAAAATGTAATTCAATTACACCAAACTTACATGGAACGGTATAAATTTACTCCTTTTTTAGGTACATACCGCGAATATTCTATACCAATGTTCTGTACAGATAAAAACTATGCAACCTACTAATTTTAACTGATATTTCTCAATATAAAGGCGGCATAGCGGGCATTTATACCTAATAAAAGTGTTAAAAGTAATATTTTATTTTACGAAAAAATTTCTCCGCTGTTAAATAAAACTTTAACGTCCTGTTTTATATATTCTGATCAGTTTTAAAAGTAAATAAATTTTTAACAAAAGTGTTAAAAGTGTGTTGCTCATATCTATACTAATTTGTCACCATTTTATGACAACCAGTGTAAAAAATGATATTTCAGACTCAAAACATGCACTAATAATGATACTTTTACTAATGTTTATAGATTTTTTTATATGTCATGTTATTCCAGGTAGTGCATCGTTGTTGGAAACATTGGAAATCCCATGCAAATTTTGAACTGTTCAAATATTGGCTCCCTTATTGATTTTACAGCGAAGTCGAAGTCGTAAATAGATTTTTCAAAAGTCTGCGCATGCTGAATTAAAAAAATTACACATTAATTTTTTAATTAAATACACATGCCAAATTTGAGCCGATTTTAATGAATTTAAGAAAAACAGTATGTATCAGTTTTTAAATTAAAACTGAACAGGTAACAATGCCAAACCAGACAAATGTCAACATACATACCTTAAGTTGTTACCCTATTATTTTATCATTGTCAAATATTTAATTTGTTGTGTTGTCTATACTACTACGTTATAGTACCTACGGTTAATGTCCCTAAAATGGATGTTCTAATTTAATACTTGTTCGAATTAGGCAAAAGCTCTAATGTATAAAAAAATACAATTTGACATTCACAAAATTATTGGTTGGCAACTTAGGGTGTATTCCGTTGCTTACCTTGGTTATGGTTTTATGTTCCGTTTCTATCGGTTTCCTGAGGTTTCCTGAAAGTTTTCTTATTAGGGAACACGGTTCCTGAAAAATTTGGTTATAACTGTCACCAAACTAACCAGCGCGAGAAGGCTGGTTTTTCTGGTTTTGTTTATCAATCAATGTCATTTATGAGACAGAAATCAAGCAAATATTGGAAGTTCGAGTGAAATTCTCATTTAATTT